GGGAGTAGAGGGGCATCGGGGAGTAGAGGGGCATCGGGGAGTAGAGGGGCATCAGCGAGTAGAGGGGCATCTGGGAGTAGATGGGCATCTGCGAGTAGAGGGGCATCTGGGAGTAGAGGGGCATCTGTGAGGAGCCTGGCCCTGGGGCAGCGGAGAGAGTAAGTCCGGCCCTGGTCGGGATTCTATGAAACCTCTGTTGTGAAGAAGAAGTTTTACGAATGTATAAAATGAAGGAAAAGTGAAGCCGATATTTGCTCTTTGCCGATCCCGGTGACGCAGGCCTGGACCCGGCTCGGCCGCACTTCGAGGACACCGAGAAATCCCTTCACCTGGACTCCTCGGACGCAGAGTTAGTTGACATCATTCACACAGACGCGGATCCCGTCTTCGGTGAGATTCTTTACAGTCCGCGCTTCTGAATTCTTTCGTTGTGGTTCTTCTGCCTCTAATCACCAGATCTCTATCCACACACACAGGTCTCGGCACAATCAAACCCACCGGGCACTTCGATTTCTACCCCAATGGGGGGCAACACATGAATGGATGTCCCAGCAAACTGGCCTTCCTCTCCAGCACTACCCTCTGTGAGTTTCTACGTGATGAATTCTGTGTATGTGGTGAACCCAGAGACAATGGTGACTCCAGAGACCAGGGTGACTCCAGAGACCAGGGTGACTCCAGAGACCAGGGTGACTCCGGGAAACATGGTGACTCCAGAGACAATGGTGACTCCAGAGACAATGGTGACTCCAGAGACAATGGTGACTCCAGAGACCAGGGTGACTCCAGAGACAATGGTGACTCCAGAGACAATGGTGACTCCGGGAAACATGGTGACTCCAGAGACAATGGTGACTCCAGAGACAATGGTGACTCCAAGAAACATGGTGAAGAATGACTAGCGGGATTTTAAAAATTGCAGGAGCGGCACAAACCGGCCCTTCTGGAACATCACTGCAATAACCCGACCTTTGTCCCTCAGACGAGTCCTGGATACCAGAGACGGGAGAACAAAATGGAGGCTGTACGGGGATGTGGTCTCCAGAACGTGAATACTTATCGGTGATCCTCGTGGCCTTGTGGTCTGTCGGTGTTTGCCCCGTCTGCTTATCAAAGGACTAAACCAGTCCAAATAGTACAGTTTGCTCTTTGTGATGAGTCCTTTGGGAATTAAAACCTCTGTTGTGAAGAAGAAGTTTTACGAATGTATAAAATGAAGGAAAAGTGAAGCCGATATTTGCTCTTTGCCGATCCCGGTGACGCAGGCCTGGACCCGGCTCGGCCGCACTTCGAGGACACCGAGAAATCCCTTCACCTGGACTCCTCGGACGCAGAGTTAGTTGACATCATTCACACAGACGCGGATCCCGTCTTCGGTGAGATTCTTTACAGTCCGCGCTTCTGAATTCTTTCGTTGTGGTTCTTCTGCCTCTAATCACCAGATCTCTATCCACACACACAGGTCTCGGCACAATCAAACCCACCGGGCACTTCGATTTCTACCCCAATGGGGGGCAACACATGAATGGATGTCCCAGCAAACTGGCCTTCCTCTCCAGCACTACCCTCTGTGAGTTTCTACGTGATGAATTCTGTGTATGTGGTGAACCCAGAGACAATGGTGACTCCAGAGACCAGGGTGACTCCAGAGACCAGGGTGACTCCAGAGACCAGGGTGACTCCGGGAAACATGGTGACTCCAGAGACAATGGTGACTCCAGAGACAATGGTGACTCCAGAGACAATGGTGACTCCAGAGACCAGGGTGACTCCAGAGACAATGGTGACTCCAGAGACAATGGTGACTCCGGGAAACATGGTGACTCCAGAGACAATGGTGACTCCAGAGACAATGGTGACTCCAAGAAACATGGTGAAGAATGACTAGCGGGATTTTAAAAATTGCAGGAGCGGCACAAACCGGCCCTTCTGGAACATCACTGCAATAACCCGACCTTTGTCCCTCAGACGAGTCCTGGATACCAGAGACGGGAGAACAAAATGGAGGCTGTACGGGGATGTGGTCTCCAGAACGTGAATACTTATCGGTGATCCTCGTGGCCTTGTGGTCTGTCGGTGTTTGCCCCGTCTGCTTATCAAAGGACTAAACCAGTCCAAATAGTACAGTTTGCTCTTTGTGATGAGTCCTTTGGGAATGCGGTGCTCAGATATGTTGGGTTGGTCCAGATATTTATTACCCATCGGCTTAATGAACTCCTATGGATCCTTCTCCTACTCCTGCTGAGGACATCCCACAACCTACTCCCCCCCCATGGGAACACTACTTGGGGTTTCTTGTGCTTTGACATGTTGGCGGTGAGCTCCCTACTCTACTCGAGAGGGGTCAGAGGTTAGTACAAGTGTCACCACCTCAGGATGGGCCCCTCAGACTGGAGAAGCTGTGAAAGGTTGTTGTGGATTCCTCTTAGATGAGCAGAGATGGAGAGATACCATGAACCATAAGAAGACGCCCTGTCCTGGCCTTTAAAGCCTAATTGGACCTGAGTGTTGGGTCTGTGTCACATTCTACGTTTCTTGAGAATGTAGAAGAAAGCCAAGAAATGTGACCCAGTAACTGGCTGACGTCTTCGTGTTGGAGAATTCCCCACAAAACCAGATCCTGTCGGGTTTTAGGAGTTGTGGATAAATGTTCCTCCGGGAGGTCTCCAGAGGCAGCAACAACCAGACGTAGAGGACAGAACAAATTCTTCTCTCTCGAGGAAGGACAATCACCAGGTTTATGAAGACCCTCCAGGGTCAAGGTTCAGGTCAAGCCAACCAGCATTGCTGTGAACATTCGATAACAGGCCTGATGCTTCTTCTGAGGAATTGTCTGTGCTCTGAGAAATGGAGACATAAGACCCGAAGATGAAGCATTCCCACCACACGTCTACGGAGCCGTGGCAGACCAGAGATTGTCCATCTGAAGTTGTATCATTGGGATGAATCTCAGATCTTTCATCCCGAATTTGTTGTGGGTGCCGATATATTCCGGGCCCCTGTCATTGGGTCAGGTGACCTGTCTGGCTCTGCGACTCTCAGTTGCGTAGTTTGGGGAGAATGTCATGTTAATGAAGATGGTTATCACCATGGTTTCCCTTCTGAGAAATATCTAAAACCTTCTACTTCCCGGAGGGCGGAGTCTGTGTTACACAACCTTCCTTCTTCTCTGTGGTCATCCAATGAGGTCCGGGGCGCGATATCAGTGTCTTGGCCTTTCTGCAAGGAAACAGATATTTTGATGAAAACCCGACGGACGTCTTTAATATTATTTTATTTGGATGGTGGTAGTAGTAGTAGTTAGTAGTGGTAGTGGTAGTGGTAGTGGTAGTAGTAGTAGTACCGTCCTCGGGCTTCCTGATGGGGATCTGACTGTTGAAGTTCCCGGCTGTGTCCGTCAGGTTGTTGTCTGATTTGTGTTTCCCCCTCATGTGTTGTCTCCTCAGCTATGGTGGATTCGGTGGCCTGCAACCATCTACGAGCCCCCCTCTACTACATAGAGAGCGTCCGAGCCCCCCGAGGATTCCTGAGCTTCCCCTGTGACAACTACCAGACGTTTCTGGATGTAAGGGACCATTCA